CCTGTCTCACTCCTTGCGTTAAATAGAAAGGATATGATTTGCAATCTAGATAAGAAACAGAAGCACTGCTTTCATAGTATAATGACGATATGGTATTAACAATATACAGAGGGAGTTTTTTATCATTGTACAGTCTCTCAAACAGAATGCCCCAATTGGAGCTGTCAAACGCTTTTTCAGCATCTAGGGAACAGAGATAGACAGATGAGTTGTTGTTGTTGTAGTGTTTAATTGTTTCACTAATAAAAAATTCAGCGTGTAGGGTTGAGTTATTTTTAGTGAAACCGAATTGAAGAGGATGAGTTTCTTTTATTTCTGGACAGATTAGTAGGATAAGATTTTCTATTAGTTTCGTAAAGATTGGAATGATGCTAATGCCGCGGTAGTTATTTGGATCAGTTAAGGATTTTTTATACAATTTAGTAAATGGTGTTATAAGTGATGTAGACATCGATTTTGGGGTCTGTCCATGAATAATAGAAAAGTTAAAAAATTTTCTGAGCCATTCTGTTAGTGCTTCACAGCTCGCATTCTTTAAATGTTCAGCTGATATTCCAAAGGCGTCTTTGGATTTGTTTAATTTAAGGCGAGAAATAACCGTTTTTATATTTTCATCCGATATTATTACCTCGTCAAATTTTGTGCAAGGTGGAATTTTTAAATTTGTAGAGAAATATGTGATTGTTTTAGAGTTTAATCGATTTTGTAGACAAATTCTTTCGTGATTGAGTCTTTTTCTTTTTTATTATTATATATGATATACAATTTCGAATTTGCATCTTTTTTTATATTTCTGAAAGTTTTTCAAAAATATTTTGGATTTGTATTTTTTATTGTTTCGATTTTTATGTATTCTTTGTACAGGTTTTTATTTTGAGCATTTTTTACAGCATTGCGGAAATTTTTTCGTGCCAATAAAAATTTGCGAGTTTAAGTTTTTAACGAACCAAGTTTCCCGCCATTTTTTAAAATAAAATGAAAGAACATTTTTACTACGGCTTAATTCAGGTGTCCACCAGGGTTTTGAATACAATGACGGTGTTTTCATGGATAAATATTGATTAAGTGCCTCAGATGCCGACTTTGTTATAACAGTATATACTTTGATAAGTTCCTTATCGTAATTGTGATTCGTAAAATTATGAAAATTAAAATTAGTATTTAAGCGATTGTTATATAATTGTAAAAAATCATTGTTATTCCAGGCATAATTTGGAATGCTGTACTTGTCTGAGTTTTTATGAATGTTTTCTTGAGAAGATTGTCCAATAATTCCAACTTCAATCGATACTGGTAAATGATCACTCATGTTTTGAGATAAAAAAGGAATTACGAAACAATTGGAATAAAGAAGAGACGTATACTTTGAGAAAGCTATGTGATCTATGTAAGATGTGTTTGGTAATGTTTTATGGTGATACGTTATGTTAGGTCCAGAGCCTTTTGTTACGTCCACTAATTTAAGTTTATTCGACTTAATAAAATTTGATAAAACTACGGAGTAGTTATTTTTCGTAGAGCTAGCTCTCTTTAATGAATCATATATTCCGTGAGGAAAAGATTGAAAGTCACCAAGGACAATAAATTCAGCAACGCCCTCGTAGTTATTAATAACACCTGAAATTATATCCAACTGACTCGTGTAATCCTCCAGTGATGTTTGATTATTGCGCGACAATGAAAGATAAATGCCAATAATAATAATATTAGTCTGATTTTTTTAAAGATTTATTGCGAAGACATGATCATCTTCATATAGAATAATAATGTTTTAAAACAATTGTTTCCGAATAAAAAAAGCGTTTCCGCCAAACAGTCGACCCTGCTCATGTTTGTTAGCCTGGTGGAAGAATGAAGAGTGGGTATTTTTGTAGATATTTTTTATTATGAAATATTCTAAATTCAATAACCAGTGTTCACATATAAAAGTTATGTCATGAGAGAGAATCAACAATTTGGTATACTCAAAATTAGACTTTAGACCGTGGCAGTTGAAAGTACATAGATTATATGTTGTTGGAAGTTTATCTTCCTTAAAAATATTCCCTAAATCCATTTTGATCTATGAAAATCTTCCTGGTTTCCGTTAGTTTCCAGATTTTGAGATATGTTAGTATATAAACGTTTTTTTCGGTATAGTTTAACTATTATATTGTTATCCCATAAAGCAGGGTTAAATATTATATTTTTTTCTGTGTTGTTTACGGTAACTTTGTATGATCTATTGTATTCATTTTCTTTATTCAATATAACAGATAAGGGGGAGATTCCTATTTCTGTTTCTAGATAGTTTTTAAAAAGTTCTTCATTGATTTGATTGCTTACCCCTCCGACAAAAATGTCAAATTTACAAACTATTCTTTCACCTGCCTTTGTTTTATTTTCAGAAATTTTTGTTCCGAACACGGGCTCTGAAATTCTATGTTTTTTACTAATGAACGATTTTGTGTTTTGTGATTAGATTTACTATTTCGGCACACTAAAGTAAAACTATTTTCTTCATTGTTGGTGTTTGAAGCGTGTAGTTGTTGATCGATATTGTTTTTTTTTATTTATTTTTGTGGTCAACATGGCGTCGATTTGTGGTTGATTTGTGATTGAGTTAGTTTGAGCTACTACATTTGCGAATGTTTTTAATAGTTGCGGTTTGTATTAACGTTTAAAAAAGACTTATGCGTTGTTTGAGTTAGATTTTTTGTAGCAGTTGGGTTGTTAATTTTATTTTCACATTGCGTATAACCATCGATCTTTAATTTCGGTATTTGACACGGCTGTAAGAGACTTATATCCATTTCCGATTGTCTGTTTTCTATCTTAAGTTTTTCAATAAGTTCATTTTGGAAAATTATTTTTTCTTTCAAAAGTATGAGTTCTTCTTTTATTTCTTTATTTTCTTTTTGAATTTCCTTTGAGATATGTAACAACTCCTTTACAGATTTAGTTAAAAATTTATCGTTGGGCAGTGTGTCCACATTTTTTGTTGAGATAATTACCTTAACAATTTCTTTATGAAGTTGTTTTTCACATAATGTGATTGAAAGTATATAATTATCTTCTAAACATAAACTTGTTTTGTATCTTTTACAAAGATTCTTTTCAACAGGATTTGTAAGGTCTAGAGTTATGTTCGCTTCACTAAATTCATCTGCACAAAATGTCTCAACGATTTCAGCAAATAGTCGTTCTCGAAGATTTCGAATTCGTTCAGGGTTCGAAGTCGTTCTCGAAGATTTCGAGTTTTCTGAGATTGAGTTCATGCTTGCGATAACTAAGTCTTTCGGATGAGAACAAATTTCCTCAATATTTTTCAAAAAATTTTCTTCAAATGTATAAATTTCACACTTTAAATAGATAAACATCTCCTCGATTGAACGTGGTGCCATATTGTTTTTATTGACGAATTCTTTTTCAAAATGGTACATTTTTGTTTGGTTGAAAATTCAAAATGATACATTTTTGAAAATTTTACATGGTACAACGGTACATTTTTGAAAATGGTACAATGGTACATTTTTGAAAATTCAAAATGGTACATTTTTGTTTGGTTGAAACTAAATTCCAGTGAGCAAATCCAGGTTTCGCGTTTTTTATAAAATCCTGACCCGAATATAATAAGAGCTTGAATATCGAATTCGTTTTTAATAGTGATAAGTAATAACAAATTTTGCTATAATATATTAAAAATAATTATTTAATATAATAAACATATTGAATTATTTATCGAACGATCCCTTCTCAAATGATTGTTGACGCATTTTTCTGTTATTTTGGCATGTTAATATATTAACATATATATAACCCTACATATTGTTTTCCAAAACAAAATGGTACATTTAAGACATCCTTTGATGTCTTTATTGTATAATTTAATTATAAAAACTTCCAAAAATTAAACAAAAATTAATTGACATTAAAAATAATATTAAAAAATTAAAAATAAATAAATATGTTTCAAAAGTATTAATATGTATGTTTTATGAGTTAATTATGTTAGAACGCAAATAAATAATTTAAATGTTTTTTTTTTTTTTTTTTAATTTTTTTAATTGTTTAATATCGTAATACTTAAATGAAGTAATTTATATTTACTGGTCAATAACTTTTTACACACAATATTGAATAAAAGGACTTGTGCAATCGTAACACCCACACCAAGGATTTCATCAGTCACAAAGAATCCCCTTTGAAGCCATCTAGTAAATAAACTGTTAAAACTGCTCATCAAGTTTTTTATCAACGTCAAGTTGTAAGTGAAATAATCATCAAGCTCATTGTTTAAATAATCAAAAAAAGAATAATTAAACTATTTATTTTGACACTTAAAAGTATTGTAGAGTATTTGTAGTAAAAGAGTATACTGAGCTATTTATTAATACATTTTTTATGGAGAAAATCATATCTTAAAATAGAATTTGACGCTATGTGATAGTAATACAGCGTAAAAATAGCTTTCATAGTTATTTTTCACTTATTTTTATTTTGTTATTTATGTGCCAAAGAATATCAAGCGGTCTTGTCACAGAACACCGCGGAAATGCCTATAACTAGGAAATTCACACCTCCTTCCTTAAGGTGACGCGAAAATATGGCCAGAGTTCGTTTCGAACCTGGATTTCCTGCTCCTAATGCAAGCGCTTTAACCACTGCACCACGGCCGCACAAAATTACTTTTGAAAGTAAATGCATTTATGAAGGTTTTAAGAGTTAGTAAAAAATTACCAGAGACGTATTTTTTTTTGTTTATTTTACTAACTGGTTGTCATTTGACCAGGTTTTGCACTTTTTAAAGCAAGTTCTGCATTTTGGCAGTTGTTTATGCCTAAGAAAATGATTTTTAAGCTATTCTTCTTTTCGTTTCCGTTCCGCGGAAAGTTTCCTGTACGTGGAAATTCACTTTTAGATTATAACTTGTAATCTTGTTTCAAAAAAGTTAATAACTGGTAGCTAAGAAACAACAACCTAATATTTAAATATTTTGATTAATAAGAAATAAAATCAAAAAAAAAAAATCAAAATGTCATCAAAATAAATTTCAAAAATCGTAATATTTTAAATATTTTATTTATACTATCATTTTAAATATAAATATTTACATACGCACACTAAAGATATATTACACACATCATATTATTTTAATTAGCAATTTCTACTTCATTACTTTTTAATTATCAAATTTACATTTACAATAAATTGTCAATCTAGGAGCTAATAATTTTTTCGCAATAACCATTCGTAGATAAGTATTTCGTTATATTTTCTCCATTCTATGTTAGCGCGTATTTTTTCTAAAAGTTGCTCCATTACTCTTTTCAGTGAGCCAAGGTTTTCTATACTGCTCACAAAGGCTTGGAACTAATAAAAAGACGATTAGTTCAAATTATAAAGCATAATTTATTCTTTTAATTAATTAAAAACATAAATTTTGCTGAACAAAAATTAAAAAAATATATAAAGGAAATAAATGTAAACAAAGTAGGGAAAAAGTGAAGACGTGGGAAAATTTTGTGAAGAATTCGTAGTTTTGTTTTACAAAAAATGTTTTTTGTAGCATGAAGATAGCAATAATTTATAGTTGTTGGTAGCTAGAGCCAATGACGAAGAAAATAAATTGATAGCAAAAGAATACCTTTTTTGAAAGTTACTAACTTTTAAAGGGGTAAAAAAAAAAAAAAAAAAAAGAATGTAACTAGCTTCAAAAAAAAAAAAAAAAATGGTCTATGATTGGTTAAGTTCCAAGCCTAAACTTTTTCATGTTTGGTTAACAAGACTATAACTTTTTACGAAGAGTATTGCAACCTTTTGAGCTTCATTCACAATTAATTTTAAAAATATGTTTGTGAATAAGGAATTTTGAGAGAACAAAGAAACTAATAATTACTGCAGAATAACTTTTACCTTTTGTAACTCGTGTTCAGTTGAAAACCCAGAAAAAATACCTTCAAAAACTTCTTTTAGCGTGAAATGCGACCTCATATGTCTAAAAAAAATTTTTTTTTTAAATATCAATGGTAATGTTAGAAAAAAAAACTAAAACTAAAAACTTTAAAATATTGCTATTGATTTTGTAACTGTGTAAGACGCATGAAAATATTTTGATTGCAAAATATATACAGCTATTGCTTCATATATTTTAATTGACAACCAATATACTTTTGTAAAAACCTAACTTTTTAAATGACCCCATAGTTAATAAATGAAGCAAAGAACAAAATCAGCAAAATAAATAACAATAAAAATATAAACAACAATTTAAAAAAAGTTTGAGGGTGGCACACGGCCTTAAAGTACTTTTTTCTTTTTTTTACTTTTTTTACATTTTTTGACCCCATGTGTGTCACCCTTAAAGATTATTGAATTAAATTTTTTTTCTATACTCATTCTCAAAATGACTCATATATAAAAAAAAGGCACTCTTTTTATAAATTTTTTCTCAACACTAAAAAAGTTATAGATAAAGGAACAAAGTAGACAAAAAAATATTATTTCCCTATTTCTGTGGCCTTTTTTATTACAAAATCAATTTAAATCAAATTATAAATAAGCTTTTAAAATTTGCTATATTACTTTGGATATTTAACTTAATGAAAAAACTAAAATAAGGTGGATTAGCTCTCCTTTAACAATATACCTTTCTTTCAACTTGCAGGAGGATGAATGAGAAAAACAAATTAAAGCAATATTAGATTTTTATTAAATTATTAACACATTATTGTTTTAAAACACTATTAGTTTGATGCTAAATCTGTTTTCTTTGCTCCTTGCTTTCCTTTTTTTTTAAACATGGTTGAGCAAGAACAAACCCTGTCTTTTCATCTTTTTAGTTGATTTTACAATCAGTTCTTTAACTAGTTTAACTGCTCTTTTTGATGAGTCATTGGCCAAATCAAAGGATTTATTAATATCCAGCAAACATTCTATAGTGAATTACAGTGGGCCTATAGAGGTATTTTGAGCATCCCACTGTAGTTTTGCTTATTGGTTACTTAGTGAACCATTAGTGGCAGCTGCCAAAACTGACTAGTCGATGGTTAGCCACTATGAATTGTTGGAAAGTTATCGGCTTGCCATTTATGCCACTAATGGTCTACTAAGTTACGGATGAGCAAAACTCCAATGAGCCGCTAAAATGCCTATATAGGTCCACTGCAAATCCACTAAAACAATGCTTGCTGGGTAATGTCAAACTCAAGATAAAAATCATTGAACTTCCAGAAATCTGTAAGCCGTTGCAACTCACTTTTTCCATTTCCAATCTTATTAAAGATGATCAAAGATTGCTCAGTTACTAGAGTACAAAGGAGATGGAAGCTGATCTTTACAAAATTTAGTGAGTGAAGAAGCTCTTTATTGACCATACACATTCGAGTGGATATACTATTGGTTTTGTGGGAAATATACTGTGTAACAATTTAGCAATATCTTCTCAGTTAGGGCAATATTTATCTGCTAAAGCAAGCACAATTAAGGCAGGATAAAGATACCAGCTGTGCCTGTCAAATAATTTTAGTGTTGTAGTAGCTCCATAAAGCTTTATATCCATGAATCTCTTCATCTACCACAGCGTTTTCATGTACTAAACAATATTTTAACAAAACTCACCAATCAAAGAATTAACTAAAATTTTTATTAATTAAAAATTAACTAACTTCTGTTTTCTTTTTGATTTTTAATATGTTTTCTTTTTAATTTTTAATCTGTTTTTTTATTTATTATTATTTTTAACTTGATACGGAGTAGCATCTGCAGATACTGCTCTAAGGAACCACTGAGTGTAAAAGATGCCAACAAACTTAGCCCTATCCTGAATCTCTTTTTTATTTTCCTCTGATAGGTTTGGAATGGTTTCAAGAAGTAAATAAATTTTAAATTAACACAATGCTTTTGCCATCATGCCATGGACCAGGAATACAAAATTTGAACCTCTCCTTTTGAGAAACTGCCATTAATGATAGTTCAGCTAATTCATGATTTTTTTTGATTTACCGTCCTAAAATTAAAAGATTTTGTTTGACATATTTTGATTGTACAAAACAGATTGTTAAAATTAATTTTATCAAGTTAGTACAAAAAATGTTCTTATTCTTTTGGTAGATCATATGTAGAGATGTAATAAATATGATATATCTATTACATCTCTTTAGAAATGTTCAGCCTCAAAATGTTGCTTAAGATGTTCAGCCTCAAGATGTTGCTTATTTAACAAAGCTCATGTTTGAGTTTGAATGATTGTTAATGGAACTGTGCCTTTTTCAAGATCATTCCAGACTGATTTTAGATATTTAAAGAGCTGATTTGGAACTGGACATTTTACTACCGGGATAAATCTTGTTGAAGTGGGTAATATGACTTTCTAAAACATGATATCTACAGGAAAGGAGAAGTAGTGGCCGCCCAAGCTTATATGCTATTCTTGCTATAATTTTATGGTACTTTCCAATCTTGGAAAACTGTATATGATGACTGAGGCCGAAAGAATCTATTAGATAATAAACTGCTTTGAACTGCATTATCCAGAACCTGGCTCAGTATTTTGGTGTGCATTGTCCAGGCCACCTTTGGAGCCCTTTGTTACAGCATAGGGTTAATTAATAGAATGGAGGCAATTACTTGGACTATGTGTAAACAGTGCACTGAGTACTATCTGTGCTTTGAGTCAAGTTCTTTAACAAATTTAAAAATGACTAAACTATCAAAAACTTTAAAACACAAAAAACCATCAGAATTACCAAGTTCACTAAATCTATCATTCACTAATATTCAAGTAACTTTTCTTTTATTGAGTCTTATCTCTCGCAAAGTTCACCAGACCTACTAGCTCTTTGTGAGACTAATTTGAGTTTGGCTGTCTCATCTTATGATCTTAGTGTTGAAGGTTATCTTCCTTTAATTCATAAAGGCGTTAGGGCCCACAACTTTTGCCTATCTCAATCTTTAACTCAAATAGTCAACTTTCCAACTCGTTTTTCTGACAATCAGAACCATTTACCTTCTCTACTCAACTTATGTCTTGTTTCTGAACCTAGCCAGTGCTCACTTCTCCACATCTACTCTTAGATGCTTCTGATCACGGTTTGATCTTTCTAAAGAGATTATCTCATTCTTCTTCATCATCAGAATTTCCCTATCATAATAACTCTTATAACTAGCTTAAAGCTGACTTGGACTCTTTCTGTGATTTTTTTTGTGATGGCCCTTGGGTAGAAATCTATCGCCTTCCTGCTGACAAATGTGCTACTTGCATAACTTCTTGGATTCAGGCTAGCATGGAATCTTTATTCCCTCTTGACGATACCAATCAAGCCTCACTCTTCTCCATGGTTTTCGTCTTATTGTGCTGCTGTTCCATTTTCCAATTGAAACCATTACTTTCATATTTTTCAGCAAAACAATTCTCCAGAAAACAGATGTCTGTTTACTATTGCTAGAAACCATTGTAAAAAGGTTTTGTCTAATGTTAAAGTCTGCTATTTTCAGGTCACAAAATCTTATATTTTACCTCAAAAATTAGGCTCTTGTGTCTTCTAAAGAATCTTTAACAGTATTGATAACAAGGGCTAATCTGTTGTTCCACCTCTCTTGTATGGTTCAGATTTTGTCACCTCACCTAAAAACAAAGCAGAGTTGTTTGCTAAGAACTTCTCAACAATATTATCTCTTGATTCCACTAGTTGCGTTCTACCTGATATAGCTGACAACAGGTTATTCCATTGTCTGAATTTTGTATCATTCCAGCTTCTGTATCTAAAGTAATTTCCTGCTTAGACTCTTATACTGCTTGTGGTCCAGGCAACATACCTGTTATAGTCTTGCAGTAGTTTTTTCTGGAGCTGTGATCAATACTATTTTTGCCGTAGTGTTTTCCGGAGCTGTTGCCTATAAGTTTAAAACTATTTAATAAGTGCTTATCAGAGTCTTGTTTTCTAACCTGCTGGAAAGCAGCACCTGTTATCCCTATTATTTCTATACACAGCGCCTCTTGTGCCATCTACTAAAACTCATTTTTGTGTTACTTGTTATCAATTTGGATTTTATTCTTCTTATTATAAATCTCAAATCCGCCTTTGTATGGAATACTTATAATATGGAATACTGATCTTCCAATGATGCCCTTTCTCTTTTAGACAAATTGCAAAAATGCATTGTAAACATAGTTGGGCCTGCTCTTGCAGCCAACCTTTAATCTTTGTCATATCGTCATAATGTTGCTTCACATTCTTTTTTCTTTTACTAACTGTTTAGAAAAAATAATCTTTAATTTACATTATAATTATTATTATTATCATATAAGCGTAGTTAATTTTATTAAAAAACAAATTAAACAATCAAATTTTAATAAATCTTTGGTTTAGTACAGGAATAGCTGCCCAAACAAATAAAAACAATTACATGCGTTTGTTCATGATAGCTTTTTCTCTTATTTTTAGTAACAAAAAAACCTCATCACAGGTAATTCTTTTCTTTTTTTTTTTTGCGCATTCTACCACCAAATTAAAAGAATGTATTATATTGTTGATGTTTTTATTGGAGTCATCCAACGTTTTTTCATTTTCTTCAAGAGGAGTAGGTTCAGTTTCTACTTCATGATTTTATGGTTGAATTTGAAGTACAAAAGTATTAATTTATTTATTATCTAACAGAAACTAACAGAATTCAATTAACTGTTCTATTTAACAATTAATTTGTTCTATTTAATTCACTTCAATACTGGCAGCACAAAACACAAACATATTCCAATAGCCGAACTTTTTACAGTTTGAGGTTAATTTTTTACAACTGAGGTTGAGTTGATTAACTTAATCAACAAAAACAAACAAAATTCAAGTAAATATTTCTTTAAAGCTAAATATATTTCTTATACAGAGGTTGCTTATGTAGAGCGTTCACTATATATATCAACTTGCATAAAAAATACTTACCTTTATTTCTTTTACTAACTAAACTGTGTATAATAAATAAATTCAGTTTTATTTTGCAAAA